TGTTTTCAAACTTTTGATCCAAACTCAAATCAAGCTATTCAAACAAAAACCAAACTCAATTACAGTCAGACCTCTCTAAGCGCACGCCCTTGGGACCATACTTTAATAACATGCATATAGAGAATAATAAGAAAAGGTGCATTTATGGAGGTTATGTATATACAGTTAGACCTCTCTAAGTGCACGCCTTTGGGACCACACTTTAATAACGTGCTTATTAAGAATAATAAAAAAAGGTGCAAATATAGAGGTAATGCATATATTTGGGCTGGCACTTGAGCGTGCATTTAGAGAGGGTGTGCGCTTGTAGAGGATGCACTTTGAGAGGTCTGATTTTAGATAAAATAATGCATGAAGTATGTTATTTTGCAACTTTGTAGTACATTAACTTTATAAAGTAATTTTAATAAAATATACTTAATAAAAATACGTCAGAATAAATAGAATTACTTAATTAACTTATTATTTATACATAATCTATATGTATAAAGGAAAGTTAACAATAAGTTCAACAAAACAAAAGAGCTTTGAATCAATCTATATCGAACTTTATTTTAAGACCTATTGAACTTTATTGGTTCTATTTTTAACTTTAATAGTAATTTTAATAAAATAACTAAATTAATAATTTATTGATGTATTTAATACAGCTTAATATAATAATAATAATAATTTTATATAAGATAAATTTAGTAATTAGCATAAAATAATTAAGTTTATAATTTATAACCGCATTTAATAAAAATACAGCTTATAAAATAGTACTAATTTTTTATAAGACAAAATTTAGTAATCAATATAAATAGAAATATATAATCTTTATGTGTAAGAGAAGTTAACAATAAAGTCCAATAAAACCAATAGGCTTTGAATCAATCTAATATCAAACTTTATTCAAAGATCTATTGAACTTTATTGGTACTATTATTAACTTCGATAATTTTAATAAAATAGCTAAATTTATAATTTATAGAAATAATTAAATATAGCTTAATATAATAGTACAAATTAAATATAAAACAAAATTTTGTAATTAGTATTTAAATAAAAATAAATTAAGTAATTTTATTTATGCTAACTACTAAATTTTGACTTATAACAAAATTTGTACTATTATACTAAGCCGTATTTTATTAAACACCTCTATAAATTATAAATATATTTAGTTTATCAAAATTACTGTATCAGATTTAATAAGCTACTGTTTTATTAGATTTATTCAACGCTCTATTGGTCTTATTTCTTTACTTATATAAATTATACATAAACAATAAATTAATAAAGTAACTTCATTCATGCTAATTACTAAATTTGTCTTATTCAAATTTTGTATTATTGTATTAAGCTGTATTAAGCACGTCAATAAATTATAAATTTAGTTATTTTATTAAAGTCTTTAGATGTAGTTCGATAAGCTATTATTTATTAGATTAATTCTAGTTTTATTGTCAACTTTGCTTTATATATGTAAATTATTTATCTAAAATAAATTAATTTAGATTTGGTCTATATAAAATTTGTACTATTATATTAAGCCGTATTTTATTAATATATAAATTTAGTCATTTTATCAAATTACTATATTAAAGTTAACAATAAAATGATTATATTAAGCGTATTTTATCAAGTATATTTATAAACTATAATGTATATGCCTATAATAATCCTCATGCTTTAGGATTTTGTACATTATTTTGAAACATGCATGTACCTAATTTTGAATGAAAATGTGATTTTTTTGAAACGCTGTACTGGTAGTCGAATAAATGAATCAATGCAACTGTAATAACAAATTATAAAGCTACAAAAAATCAACTTTAAACTAAATAAGCTATTTGAATATAAGTGCTGCAAAGAAAAAAACCTACAAGTAAAATTTTATTTGTTAATCTTTATGTCGATTCAAATCTATTTTTACACTAGTGTGTGACAAATCATAAGATGATGAATAAATATTCAAATATAAACTACATAATAATTATTTATTCATAACATTGTATAATTGTTATACCACAGTGTCAAATAGGTTGAAATTGGCACAGTAATTAACGAATAAAATTTTACTTACAAGTTTTCTCTGTGTAATATTAAGATAATATAGTCAAACCTCTCTAAGTACATGCTATTGAGATTATGCATATAAGAATAATAAGAAAAAGTGTATTTATGGAGTATGTATTTAGAGAGGGTACTTAGAGGTCTAACTATATATATGAAGTTCGATAAACTACTGTTTTTTTAGATTGAATTAAAGCTTTATCAGTTTTATTAGATTCTAATATTAATTTTACTTTATACAGTCAAACCTCTCTAAGCACATGCTCTTGGGACCATACTCTAATAACATGCATATAAAGAATAACAAATAAAAGTGCATTTATAGGGTCAAGTATATATTTGGGCTAGCACTTGAGCGTGCATTTAGAGAGTGTGTGTACTTATAGAGGGTGCATTTAGAGAGGTCTGACTATAGTACTCTGGTAAAATTCACCTCAAATGAGCGTTAAAATACTCAATTAATTAATTAATTTTATTTATACTAATCACTAAATTTTGTTTTATACAAAATTTGTACTATTATATTAAGCTATATTTTATTAAATACATCTATAAATTATAAATTTAGTTATTTTATATTAGTTACTAAATTTAGTCTTATATTTAATTTGTACTATTATATTAAGCTATATTTTATTAAATACGTCAATAAATTATAAATTTAGTTATTTTATTAAAATCACCAAAGTTAAAAATAGATTGATTCAAAGCTTTATTGATTTTATTGGACTCTATTCTTAACTTCCCTTATATTAATTACTAAATTTTTTTTATAGAAAAGTTGTACTGTTATATTAAGCTATATTTTTATTAAATATGTCTATAAATTATAAATTTAGTTATTTTATACGTACTAATTACTAAATTTAGTCTTATATTTAATTTGTACTATTATATTAAGCTGTATTAAATACATCAATAAATTATTAATTTAGTTATTATTATGTTAAAGTTAACAATAAAACTAATAAAGTCCAATAGGTCTTAAAATAAAGTTTGATAATAGATTAATTAAAAGCTCTATTGGTTTTATTAGTCTTATTATTAACTTTTCTTTATACGTATAGACAGTGTTGTCATGTCCAATCCAAATCATTAGATCTTGGATATGCAATGTCCAATTAAAACCATTGGACATGGACTATTGGACATTGGACGTCCAAAGTCCAAAATTACAATTGGACATTGGATTGGACGGCCAATAAAAGCTATCCAAACGTCTAATTTTGTCCAATGTGCATCACTGCATATAGATTATATATAAATGATAAATTAATTAAGTAATTCTATTTATGCTAATTACTAAATTTTGTTGTATATAGTCAAACCTCTCTAAATACATGAAGAATAACAAGTAAAGTGCATTTGAGAATATATTTTGGCCAGCACTTAAACGTGCATTTAGAGTGATTTGACTGTACAAAATTGTACTATTATATTAAAATACAGTTAAACTTCTCTAAATGCATTCTCTTAAAATACATGCTTTAAGTGCTTGCCCAAATACAGTCAGACCTCTCTAAATGCACTCTCTATAGGTGCACACACTCACTAAATGCACGCTCAAGTACTAGCCAAATATATACTTGACCCTATAAATGCACTTTTACTTGTTATTCTTTATATGCACGTTATTAGAGTATGGTCCCAAGGGCATGCACTTAGAGAGGTTTGACTGTATATACATAGCCTTTATAAGTGCATTTATTATTATTATTTTCTATATGCATATTCTTAAAGGGTAGTCCCAAGAGCGTGCAATCAGAGAGATCTAAATGTATAAAATTGTACTAGCTGTGTTTTTATTAAATTAATTTATAAATTATAAATTTAGTTATTTTATACTAACTACTAAATTTGTTTTATACAAAATTTGTATTATTATATTAAACTGTATTTCAATCAGACCTCTTTAATTGACCCCTCTATAAGTGTACACCCTCTCTAAATATATATTTAAATACCAGCTCAAATATATACATTACCTTTATATATGCACTTTTTTTTATTATTCTTTATATACATGTTTTTAAAGTGTAGTTCCAAGGGTGCACGCTTAGAGAGGTCTGACTGCATATTAATAAATTATTAATTTAGTTATTTTATTAAAAACATTACTATATTAAAGTTAACAATAAACTAATAAAGTTTAATAGAACTTAGAATAAAGTTCGATATTAGATTGATTCAAAGCTCCATTAGTTTTATTGGACTTGATTGTTAACTTCCTTTTATACAGATAAATTATGTATAAATAATAAATTAATTCTATTCATGCTAATTACTAAATTTTGTCTTATACAAAATTTGTACTATTATATTATGCAGTATTTTATAAAGTATATTTTACTTTATAAAGTTAATATACTTCTTAGTTGCAAAATAATATATATTATTTTATCTATATTCAGACGTCTTTAAGTGCATATTTTTACTAAATGCATGTTTAAATGCCATCTCAATATATACATTACCTCTATAAATATACTTTCCCACTAAATACATATTCAAGTACTAGTCTAATATATACATTATCTCTATAAATACACTTTCTCACTAAATACACATTCAAGTGCTAGCCCAATATATACATAACTTCTGTAAATATAATTTTCTTATTATTTTCTATATGCATGTTATTAAAGTATGATTCTAAGAGCATACATTTAGAGATATCTGACTATTTAGGGCTCTGACATTTATTACGTAATATTTTAGGGGGTGGGGGGTTGAGCATGTATTATATCAATATCTTACGTTACACAAAGAAATTATATGATTTCTAAATTGGCCAATAATATAGATCTTACGTGGGGGCCCTTATAGCAAATGGATATTACGTAATAAATGTCAGTGCCCTTATATGTATTATATATTTGCAGATAAATATATAAGTAAGATAAAAAATTTAATATTAAAATTAACTTTAATTAATTTTAAAAATGTCATTAAACGAACAATTATCAACAACTTCATCTGTATCAACTATAGATACACATGAAAATATACAAGAAGATATGCAAATAGATACACAAATTAATAACCGTAAAAAATCTGGTCCAAAGCCAAAAAAAATTTGGGAACATTTTATTGAAGGTGAACGAAGTTTAAAAGGACATGCTTTAGCAATATGTAAATATTGCAATACACCATTTTCATGATGAAAACCTTATAGAATGGAATTTCATATAGCATTTGAATGTTCTGAAGATTTTCTATCTATTTCGACTAAAATTAAGCAAGAATGGATGCAAATAATTGCAACAAGAAATGAGAGTATTTTAGATAATAGTGAATTAATTCAAATACCATATAAGCGTAAAAGATTAGAATCTATTAGTATAGATAAAAGCATAAAAGCTAAAATTGATTATGCAATACTTAGAGCTTTTATTTGCTGTGGAATTTCATTTTCAGTTATAGAAAATCCCTTTTTTATCGATTTATTAAAATTAGCATATGATAACTACATACCACCAAGTCGTACTACACTTTCAACAACATTATTAAATATGGAAATAGCAAGAGTTACAATAAAAATGAATAATGAAATAAAAAATTTACAAAACTTGACACTAGGTAAATATTTACTAACTTTGCAAAATAGTATCTATAAATATTATTTTAAATAATAGCCTAATTATACTTAATAGATAAAATTTAAAATATATTTCTAAGTATTATTTTGCATAATATTATTAAAATGTTATAAATTTAAATTAATATATATATATATTTTTGTAATTAAACAGGTCTCGATGGATGGACCAATTCAAAAGGCCAATCAATATATTCATATGTTATAATATCACCTAATAATCAAAAAGAATATTTATATTCAGTAAAAAACTTATCAAGCCATTCACATACAGGTGATTTTTTGGCATCTGAAATAGATAAAATTCTTAGTGAAATCGGGGCTACTAAATTTATAGGGTTGGTTTCAGATAGTGCATCTTCAATGAAACTGGCTAAAAGTATAATTCATAATAGATATCCTTCAATTATTATACTTCATTGTATTGCGCATCAACTACATTTAATCAGCCATGATATTTGTTGCTTGCCTTATATTTCTAATTTAATTTCCAAATGCAATAGTATAGTATCTTATTTTAGAAAATCACATATAGCAGGAGATTTATTAAATAAAACAATTAAAGATATGCTTATAACTGGTGGCGGCCTAAAAAACAAGATGGACAACCTATTATGATTGTACTTCTTCTATAATTAGACTAGAACAAGTATTTATAGTGACAAGACATATTAAATTATAATTATTTATTTGTTTATATTTATAATATACTTATATAAAATTTTATTTAAAGCTTTTAGAACATTATTCAGATAAAATTAGTCAGAATATTAAAAATATATTTTCTGATAGTTATTTTTTTCCAAAAGTGGCTGAATTAACAAAGGTTTTAGCTCCAATTAAAAAAGCTATACTTTGTCTTGAGCGTAAATCAACAAATTTAGTTGATTGTTATATTCAACTTGTAACAATGGCTTCTGCTCTTAAAAAACTTTCTAATGATTTTAATATCGAATTTAAGAAAAATTGTTATGCTATATTCAACAAAAGATGGAGAATTTTTGATAAAACACTGTATATGTTGGCTTTCTTTTTTCATCCTAAATATCATGGTAAGTTTTATTTAGTATTTATTATAATAAATATTTAATTAATATAAGGCCATACAAATTTAATTACTTGGTTTTCATAACATGAAACTTTTAAATAGACCCGGCCGGCCGGCTTT